CTACTTGCTCTTCTGATGTAACTACCCTCCTTGGAATGGTCATGCTCTTGCCTCTTCAGCTTGCTCAACTGGCTCAGAATTTGAATGACCAATTTTTCTAGAGCTGTTTAGTTTTAAAAATATATAAATAATATTATCACTCAGATGACTTTAATTAATACATTCAAATGTAACCACCATTTGACTTTCTTTTAAAGAAATAAATTATTTAATTTATATAGTCTTGATTCACTTGTAATTCAATTTTAAAACTAATTTGGTGTATGCTCTTTGTCTATTGTAATTTTGACTTGGTGCAAGTTAGTCCCTATAATTTTAATTATTTGAAATATTGATACTATATTTTAAAAAATAAAATTATAAAGACTGAAAATATTTTTTACAACTTAGGGACAAATGTTTAAAATTGTTAAAACTATAGAGATTAAATTGTATCGAGTTAAAGTTTGTGATGTAATATGAAATAAATATAATTAGATTTAATTTAGGATATTAAGGTTATCCAATAGGGATATTTAAATAAAGATATTGATCTATTAAATTAGCTTTAATTATTTATTTTATTGTTATCTTAGATATCAGTATCTTTAAGATTATATTTAAATTTAGGATTTGAGATTTGAATTTACATTATTGGTATTATATTATTTTAGAGCTTTATAAGAAATGGTGTAATATAGGATAAAATATAATTAGGTTTAATTTAGAATATTAGGGTTATCTAATAGAGATATTTAAATAAGGATATTGATCCATTACATTAGCTTTGATTATTTATTTTATTGTTATCTTAGATATCAATATCTTTAAGATTATATTTAGATTTAGGATTTGAGATTTGAATTTAAATTATTTTTATTTTATTATTTTAGAGCTCTATAAGTAGAACTAGGTTTTTTATTTAGATTCAAATTTTAAATATTATTGAATAAGAGTTTTTAAGAGTTTTGGCCTTCCCTCTTTTCTCCTTCCCTCCTCCTTTTCTCTCTGTTCCCCTTTGCCCTTCTTGTTTTATATCAATTTGGTACCAAAGTTAGGTTCCCATCACACTCTTGTCGCCAATCTCACTTAGAAAGTATAACTTTTTCATTAAAATTTAGAGTGCCAAACAAGGTATAATAAACTCACTATTCAAAGCCACTGACTGGAGTGCCTTCATCACCTTTCACAAATTTTCTCACTAATGGATCTTTGAGGTTTGGAACATCTCATACATTTGCAGCATTTTGAATAATTCTTCATTTTTTATTGATCTGGATTTTTGTCTTCCAAAAAAAAAGAAAAAAAAAAGGGGAAAAGAGAAAGGAAAAAGAAAGAAGAAAACAAAAAAATAAAAAAAATACTTATAATGCTTAGTTGCCAATATGAGCTACAGCATATATACACATTTAGATTATCGGTATGAATATGCCATTCTACCACAATATGCTCAACAACGAAAGCATTATGCTCAATGGTATACCTATTTGTCACAAGATACTTATGGGAAAGAGAGCTATTGGTATGGTTATGAAGAATAACAATATGATTATACAAGTCATCAACAGTATGAACATATACTTATTGTGACAATTATGAGCATCGCCATCTCCAGTCAAAGTATGCTAATCATAAGCAATATGAGTACAAAGACCAATACCGACATGAGTACATTAAGCAACAACAATATGAACATCTTAATAGCCATCAATATGATTATGTTTATCAATATGAAGATGGTACCTGTTGCCATTATGAATATGCTAACTTTTAGGAGGACATAGACCAAATTAAAGTTAAACTGGATCGCTTTCAGCAAAAACATATTGTTATTTTGACAAGCTTAGGAGGGATTATGGTAGAGTTAAGAAAGCAACATATGAGATTAAGAGGATAATCAATCAATTGAAGAAACAAATGGAAGAACAAGCAACAAGCGAGCCAACAATGGCAAAAGCTCCTTCCTTCCCAGTAGAAGATTTTCTAAACAATGATCAAGTTGTCCACTGTACACCAATACAAGTGGCTGCTTCTCAAATTGTGTCTAGCAACGATTAATCTCATCATGCTATAACTATTCCCTATTAGTAGGCTACATCTCCTAAGGTCACTTCATTGCTTAATGGTCAAATCCAGCAATACTCTGTTTGTTGGAAAAGTTTTCCAAAGACTTTGCATGGTCAAAGTACTCATTCTAGTCAAAGTTTGTTCTTTTTCTATCTAACTTGTTGGAAGGGATTTCTAGATACTTCCCCATATCAAGTTGCTTGCTCTTGCCAAAACTTGCTTTTTCAATGTCTCACCTATTGGAAAGGGTTTCCAGAGTTGAGCACTTCGTTAAAATTTATCTCACCCTTCCCTTCCTAGATTTATGCCTTAATTTTAACTCATCAAAAGCCAAGTTCTTTAAGCAAGGGAGAAATTGTGTAATATGAGATAAAATATAATTAGTTTTAATTTAGAATATTAGGGTTATCCAATAGGGATATTTAAATAAGTATATTAATCTATTAGATTAACTTTGATTATTTATTTTATTATTATCTTAGATATCAGTATCTTTAAGATTATATTTAAATTTAGGATTTGATATTTGAATTAAATTTTTTATTATTTTGTTATTTTAAAGCTCTATAAATAAAGTTAGGTTTTTCATTTGTATCCAGCTTTTAAATATTATGGAATAAGAGTTTCGGCCTTCCCTCCTTCTTTCTCCTTCCCTCCTTCTTCTTTTCTCTCTGTTCCCCTTTCCCCTTCTTGTTTTACATCAGTTTGTGACTAAGTTATAATCACGAATTAAAACTATAAGAATTAAATGATTAATTTTCACCTCATAGAATGACTCAACATTAATATACATTATTATATATCCCACGCTCTGTTTAACCCTCAAAAATACCAAACCATGTGGACATTAAACCAAAAGATTATCGGCTTTAAACTATTTATTGTTTAATGTCACCCACAAAGATGCATGACTCTAGCCTCTATGCAGTCTTCATCCATTTTCTTTTCTATTTCCTTTATCATTTTTTTCATTTTCTTTGCCACTCTCATCTTTTTACCCTTCAAAAGCATACAACTGCATTACAAAATTAAACCGTTGTGTCACTAGGTGGGAAATTAAAGCAATTATCACCAACCTGGAACTAGAAATTAGAGTAATGGACGTTCTTCTAGTTACCTTTCTCTTTTCTTTACTTCCAATATCAAGTCTGAAAACATTCCCTTCTTTTTTAATTTCATCTTCTCTTCAAAGCATATCTTCTGCACTATGTAACACCATCTTCTTCTTTTCTTCGACAGAAGCAGAAATCTCAAGCAAGATCGGTGTGAACTATGGCCAGCTTGGGAACAACCTGCCATCTCCGAGACGATCAATTGAGCTACTAACATCAATGAACGCTGGACGCGTGAAGCTGTACGATGCCAACCCAGAAATTCTGAATCTTCTATCAGAAACCAAATTTCAAGTTTCCATTATGGTCCCGAATAATGAAATCTCAAGAATTGCTTCAAACCAAAGCATGGCAGATGAATGGGTGAGACACAATGTTGTCCCTTACTATCCCAAAACCTTGATTCGTTTCTTACTTGTAGGAAATGAAGTTCTTAGCGATTATTCAGTACAAGGCCAGAAGATTTGGCTTGATCTGGTGCCAGCGATGAGAAGGATTCAAAGGTCTCTCCAGTCTCAAAATATTACTAAAATTAAAGTTAGCACCCCAATAGCAATGGACGTTTTAGAGACCACTTTTCCGGTGTCGGCCGGGACATTCCGGTCCAGCGTAAGAGACACTGTGATGGTACCAATGCTCGAGTTTCTAAACAAAACCAACTCATTCTTATTCATTGATGCATATACTTATTTTCCATGGTCATCCAACCCCACCAATATCAGCCTAGATTTTGCACTTCTGAGAGGAAATTTCAACATCACGGACCCTTTTAGTAGCTTGTCCTACACCAATTTGCTAGACCAAATGCTTGACTCAGTTATCTTCGCCATGTCAAAACTCGGCTTCCCCAGCATAAGGCTGGTGATATCTGAAACGGGGTGGCCTCATTCAGGCAACATAGTTGATCAAGCTGCCGCTGCTGCTGGTGCAAACATATTCAATGCAGCAATGTACAACCAGAATCTCATCAAGAAAATCACGGCAAACCCACCTCTGGGGACGCCAGCTCGACCTGGTGTTGTGATTCCAACGTTCATCTTCTCATTGTATGATGAGAACATGAAGAAAGGACCAGGAATAGAGAGACATTGGGGACTGTTACATCCAGATGGAACACCAATGTATGAAGATTTTGCTCCACTAAGCATTAATGCAGTTTGAAATTACCCTGAATAAGGGCTAATACAATTTCTCAACTTTTCTTTTATGAATAAGTTTCCTTGCTCTTCAATATCCGTGTTATAGACAAATGATTGAAGAATCCCAAATAAGATATTTTGATGAGCCATAAAATTAAGCAGCCCATGTACGAAGTTGTGGTATGATGATGCCTTCTGAGCAGAACCTATCTGAATACTAATAAATCGAGAATGAATATTGGGTCAAGATTGCTTCAAATAACAGAGCATCATTACGATGACCACAATGGCCACACACTTTGTATTTAGTTCTTATAAGTAACGAGATTATTTAACTTTTGTTCTTTGGCCACACTAACGGAGTTTTTAATCATCAAGTTGGTGTCCATCATCCATTTGATCTCTCAAATTTATTTTTATGACAGTTTTATTACTTTATAAATTTAGATTTTAAAATATGATAACATTAATCATGTAAATCTGAATGAGCCAAATTATTATTTTCAATAATTCTTCGAAACTAATGCAATCGAACTCCCACCTACTTTCTGGTAAAATACACACTATTTTAACCTGATGAAAGTCAAATAAAATGATAAAATTTTTTGGAAGTCAACAATTTAAATGAGATGTAAACAAATAGTCAAAAGACAGCGAGCACCATAAGTTTATAAGGCAACTTATTCATATCAATCCATATATATAATCAAACGTCATTATAAAGACCGCGTCTAGAGAAAACAAAAGGGCATTGAAGGACAAAAGTGTACGGATATACAAAAAGTTGCACATCATTTTTCCTCCAGGCGTCGTAGAACTGAGTCAGCAAAGTTTTGTTGCCTACAAATGCCCAGAAACCAGTAAGTGCCATGAATCAAATTTCTAAACCCAGATTTATTTATTTCTTTTTTTTTTTTAGATCTAATTTAATATCATGACCCATTACATGCCAACTCTAAAAAGCAGAGTCAATTAGAAACTCTACAACATAATCATTTCATAAAGAAACTATTCTAAACCCAAAATGTGCAAAGTAAGAAGCAATTTACAACTATTAATCTAATATTTATGTATTAACCAACAAGTAAATCAAATGGATAAAATAGTGCCAAGGCAAGAAATTTGTAAAATTTTAGAAGTAACTACTCATCCAACAAGTAGTTGTTCCTTTAAACAAGCATACGAATGTTTGTTTCAATCATCAACGGTGATTGCTTGAAGGGGCATATATTATAACCTACCAAACCATATAGTGCAAAACAAAATAGAACAACAAACTAAGTGTACTTCCCTAACTAGGTAGGCCAATGCATTCATCCACACTGTTAATGAGTCGTGAATAGTGAGAATTGTCATAAATTTGACATTTTTGTTATTGATATCGACTATAAAACCTAGGTTATTGGCCATGTGATAGCAAAAGGTGTGCACCAAGAGAAATTAAGTAATAGAACTTACTTCCCTTCCTTCAGCTTTGGGCTAGGACGAGAATACTTTAGATATCCATCCCAAGGAACCTTTTTGAGGCCAGCTCGAACTGAGATTATGTCTCTCACCCTACATTAAAGTAAAATACAGACACTTTCATGGTAACCATTCCTGCTAAACAATTTCCTAATAACAATATACTCCCTCCATTTAAAAACGTAAGGTATTTTTAATTAAATATCACTCCAAATAAATTAGTTAACCAAATATACTGCCTCTATTCCATAATTATCCTCATTTCATAGAGTGTTTTACTTAAAAATAACTATAAAATGATTCATTTATTAAGGGCATTTTTCGAGGGGAAAAAAACACATTCATTACACTTGAAACACTAAAAATACCTCACATTTTTAAATATCCATCCCCTTAAAGGCATTTTTTTAACAGAGGGAGTAGAGGAAAATTATACACCTCTCAGCAAACTCAATGGCTGTTTCTCCTGGCTTCAGATTCTGTGGCTCCAAGTACCAAACATCACAAACAACAGCCCAAGATGTCATTAGCTGCAGCAGATGCATAGTGAATGATTGCCTGCAAATGCATGAAATCCAACCATTACACCTCTAATACAGCAGTGGAACAGTGAAAATATAGAAGTAATTAACATTGAAAAGCATAACCTTACTTTCGACTATTCCAAAAAGCATCCACAAATATTTTATTGTATTTTATTGCAACTGGGCAAACTGTGCAGCCAAGTTCAAATGCACCCTATAAACATCAATAAACAAGTTAAAATGCTTAGACGATAGATTTGGGATACAACTAAAGTACAAATCAATGTAAGGGATGGAGGAGTATCAGAAACAAAAGAAAGAAAGAACGCCCATTGCATAAGTGTATAGGTGAACGCAACTGCATTTTTCACAGATACACGCACCTTCTTGAACATGACAGTGTAGTGATTATTTACACAAGTTCCTTCAGGAAATATCAGAAGAGGATTATTGTCAGCGCCCTGGACATGCTCCCTCAATCTGAAATATTTAAAGCAGACAAGTCAAGACAGATGAAATCTGAAATAGATATTTCCTAAATTTTCATTTAAACTCACTTCTTGGCAACAATTTCTCGATCCTTTGCCTCAGAACGATTGAACCAGATACATCCTACACTCTCCAAAATGGTGCTCTGCAATAATCCTACACAAAACAGCCAATATTTATAAAATTCATAAATTACTGTTTTAACAGGAAATTTCCCAAAACCCATTGTACGTTAACAAGCTTTAGGTCATCACTAGTTGTTCATCACATGCCCTGTTCTTCCCAGGAAACAATTAAACCAACCAACAGAGAGAATAATGCTAACAAGAAAAAGGTTTAGATATATTTATGAAGTCATCCTGATAGTGGGGTACCATTACTTTAAAACCAAATTACCCAAAGATGTCATAATATAATATATATAAGCTATTATACTATATATAAAGAAACAGTTTTTAGTTGAGGAGGATGCTTACCAACCCATCCAGGATGCTTCTGCATAATTACAGCAAATGCAGTCATCTGTTCTAAAATAATGAAATCAATCATGGAAGTGTGGTTGGCCACAAAAACCTGTTCATGAAATGTAGAGAGAACTCAAATTATCAGTCAACAACATTCACATTTACCTAAATGTTAAAATAAGGTTACATCCGATATGTTAGACATACCTGCTTTGGTCTCATGCTAGGACGTGGCCCATGATATTTGACAACTCCAGTCCATGATGCAACAAAAAAACTGCACATCATCTCCACCAATGACCTCTGAAGGACAAGTTCAATTTATCATATCCAATTGATGTATAAAAGTCACATCAGAATTGTACAAGACAGAGAAAACATAACAGACTGTATCTTTAGATTCTCAAGACCATTTGTGCTAATATCATGGGTTGGACTATAACTAGTCCCATGCACTCCACCGTGTACAGCATCCTTCAAAAAGATGAGTTCATTTACAACATTATGTACAAATTGAAATTATGCCCACCAATGAATTGGCCAACCTTTACAATATGAACCATAAAATGTAAAAATGATAGCCATTCACTGGTAGGTTTTGGACAAAACAGTATGTCATTGATTTTCAATTAGTCTGATTAGTAATATACTCCCTCCACTCCTAATTATAGGACCAAGTTTTAAAGTCCTATTTGGCCCTAAATATAGGACAAGATGTTGTTTATTTTTCCAACCTTACCCCTCATCAATTTCAGCAAGTTGTGGCATACTTCTAATTTTTATACAACACTTTATTATGGTCATTAGTTACATTAAATGGCAAAATTGGAAGGTCACATTTTTTTACAAATTTAAGGTATCAACTACCACTCCTTGAGAACCATGAAATTAGTTTACTTTGTCCTAGAATCGGACCGGAGGAAGTATTTGTATAGGCAGTTATTTAACAATTACTCTTCTTCCACTGGTCTAATTAGTGAATGGAAACTTCTTCAACTACAATGGTAAAGTCACATCATCTAGAGCAAGATGAATTGAACTCTACGAGGCCATAGGTACTCGAGAACAGCAAATTATACAAAGACTTGCTAAATTATTCCAATAAAAGTTTGAAGTTGAATGAACACAAGATAACATTTGAAAATAACCTAGAGCATGTGCCTCTTAAGATGCCTCTCTTAAGTTTTGCTAAAAACATACATGCACTCCCTCTATTTAAAAAAAAAAAAAAATTGCGTCCAATTTTTATTCTCAGACTAAATAACCTCCATAAAAAATATGTAACCAAGTGTCTTTTGCCAGAATACAAAAGAGGGTTGATAGAGACATTTTAGTCAAAACAAACGATTAAAATTGGATTGAAGTGTATACTTTGAAGTTTGAAATTAAAGGGGGACGCTTCTGCAATTGCAGCAAAACTCAAGGGATGTTTGCGTCATTTATTTTTAAAATGCGTACATTTAAAGAAACAGCATGACAACTAAGAACCAAAATTTATTGTGTGCTTTAAAACTATTTAAAACCAAACAGTATAAGCCTTCTTTGTTCTTTTTAGTGTACATATATTAAAAGGAGAGGGAGAAAACTAAAAATTGAATGGGATAACATGGGGTGAAAATATAGGCACCTCAATCTTTCTCCTCAACTTGTCATGTCCCTTCAGTAGGAGATGCACAGGAATAAAGGAAGAAAGAAATATTATCCATCCTATTGTCAACACTAGAACCCTGTAACTTAAAATAAGAAATATTAAAAGGCCAGACATGATCAACAGTACATGATTTTATTGAAAGACACAATGGAGATTCATACATCAAGTTTAAAAAAGGGAAATTTAATGTAACCAAAGTTGAAATTGAAACCATATACAAAACTCTTCTTTACCATCATCATGCATAATTTTAAGTAACTGTAGAAAAGGTACAAGCTAACTTGCAGGGGAACAGTATCAAATATCGAACTAAGACGCCACAACACCACAAAGGGAACAAATAAACATTCCATTCCAAGGTTTCAGGAGGATTTGACTTGAAGCATCTTGTGAACGAATCCTATCCAACACAGAAATTTTCAATTAGTGAGCAAACATCCAAAGTAACAAAGGTCAAAAAACAAGGGGTTGAAAACCATCTCCATTTTTGTGTGCACACATGTGCACCCACACATTTTATGAGCTTGAGAATAAATTGCTGATTCTTAATGCAAGCCTAAATAATCTCCAAGAACAGAACCAAACAAATTCCCAAGGAGAAGCAGTAACAACAGCTAGTCTGTGTGCCTTTTTTTTTTTTTTTTCCCGAAGCCTCAATGCCTCATGATTTTTCACATATCATAATCATTCATCTAAAATAATGGAGGTGCACCAAAACCACAGAAGTAAAAAAAGCAAAGTTCAGAAAGAGGGCAAATCTTACATCTACAATGGCACCAGCTGCCTCAGACAAAGTAGGAGAAATGTTGAGCAAGTCACGCCTGAAAA